TCTAATTTTTATGATGATTCAAGGGTAAATAAGAATAGTAGAGTTCAATACTACCACAAACTAACAATAATTTCAAATAAAACTACTATAATCATAATAAAAATAAAGATAACTATGGGAAAGCGCTTGGTTTAACGCTGTCAGCCTGACCTATTCAGGTGTTATTTAGGTTGACTGATCATTAAAACCTCTTTAAAATTTAGTCTTTTACCCTCAAAATACGGTTTTAATCTTTGTCCAATTACTTTAAATCTATTTCCAGTCTTTTGATCTTCAATCTCAACAGCTCCGTAAGTATAAACTTGAGTCATAGTAAAGGGTCCTAACCAACGAGACTTCAATTTCCCAACGAATAACTTCAGCCTTGTATTTTAAAGCAAAACCTCTTGTCCTGGTTCAAAGTTCTTCTGGTTAATCTTCTGATCATGCCATAACTTTAGTTTCTCCTTATAAATTCTGCCGTTATCATAGAATTCATTTCTTAATTATTTCAATTCATTTAATTGTAACAATCTCTTCTTACCAGCAGTTTTCAAATTATAATTGAATTCTTTAATCACCCAATATGCTTTATTGTCCAATTCTACTAGTAAGTGACAAGTCTTTCCAAAAATCTGTCTGTAAGGAGTCATTCCAATAGGAGTTTTATAAGCAGTCCTATAAGCCCATAATGTGGTATCCAGTCTAGTGGACCAATCTACTCTACTAGGATTTACAGTCTTCTCAAGTATTTATTTAATCTCTTTATTAGAAACTTTAGCTAACCCACTAGTTTGAGGATGATAGGCAGTAGAGATTCTATGAATAATATTAAACTTCTCTGTCAAACTCTGAATGTATTTATTTCTAAAATGGGATCCTCCGTCAGTGATAATCATTTTAGGCATTCCGTATCTATCTAGTGAAAATATTTTTCATTAAAAATCTTTCAACACTTTTAGCATCACAACGAGGTAAAGCTTGTGCTTCAATCCACTTTAAAACGTAGTCTACTATAATTAATATGTATAAGTTCCCAAATGAAGGAATAAATGGTCCCATGAAATCTAATCCTCAAACATTAAAGATCTCAACTTCTAATATGAAATTCAGAGACATTTCATTTATTCTAGATATATTGCCTACTCGTTGGCATCGATCACAAGTTTTTATGTATCTATAAACATCTCTAAAGATAGTAGGCTAATAGAATCCAGCATGTAATATTTTATAAGCAGTTTTATCAATTCCAAAATGTCCTCCAAATTCAGAATCATGACATTTCTGAATGATTAGCTCAGTTTCTTCATAAGGTACACATCTTCTCATAATAAGATCCTTACATTATTTATATAAATAAGGTTGATCCCAAAAATATGCTTTCCAATCATGAATGAATTTTTTTTGTTGTTGCAATGTCAGCATAGGTGGCAAAATATAACTTAAAATATAATTAACCATATCAGCATATCATGGTATTTTCCACTCATTAATATTATAAAATTGTTCATCAGGGAAACTGTCTGTAGAGTCAGATAATTCATGATTTTCTAATCTCAACAAATGATCAACAATTTGATTATCAGTTCCCTTTCTATTAATAACCACAAGATCAAATTATTGCATTAAAAGTATTCATCTAATTAACTTTGGTTTGGCATCCTTCTTTTGCATTAGATATTTAATAGCAGAGTGATCAGCGTGCACAACACATTTAGTCTTAATTAAATAAGATCTAAATTTGTCTAAAGCATACACAATAGCCAGTAACTCTTTTCAGTAACAATATAGTTAGTTTGAGCATCATTAAGGGTTTTACTAGCGTAGTATATAACTTTAAAAATCTTATCATACCTTTGTCCAAGAACAGCTCCAATAGCATAATCACTAGCGTCGCACATCAGTTCAAATGATTTCTCCCAGTTAGGCGAAACTATAATAGGGGATGTGATTAATCTTTTTTTTAATAACTCAAAGACATTTAAACAATTTTCAGTGAATTCAAATTTCTTATCCTTTTCTAAAAGTTGGCATAGAGGTTTAGTAATTTTTGAACAATCTTTAATAAATAGCTTGTAAAAACCAACATGTCCAAGAAAATTCCTAACATCTCTTACATTAGCAGGAGGTGTTAGTTTAGATATAACTTGAATTTTTGTAGGGTCTGTTTCCATACCATTTTCCGAAATTTTATGCCCTAACACAATTTCTCCTGCAACCATAAATTGACATTTCTCCCAATTTAGAACTAAATTAGTTCTCTCGCATAACTCCAAAACTTTTTCAAGATAATTTAAGCATGCGTCAAATGATGTTCCAAATATGGAATGTTGTAGGTGCATTATATAATCCAAAAGGCATTCTTCAAAAAGAAAAAGTTCCAAAAGGACTAGTAAATGTTGACTTTTCTTGATCCTCAGGAGCAATAAGAATTTGATGGTAACCGATATATCCATCTAACAAACAAAAATATTTGTACCTACCAAGTCTATATACTATTTGGTCTAAAAAAGGGTAAAGGGAAGTGATCTTTCCTGGTGGCAGTGCTTTGTTTTCTATAATCAATGCAAATACGCCACCCAACAACTTGTCTGATAGGTATTAATTCATTATTCTCTTTTGTTTCAACAGTCACTCCTCCTTTCTTAGGAACACAATGAATTGGACTTACCGAAGCACTATCTGAAATAGGATATATAATTCCAGTGTCTAACCATTTCAAAATTTCCTTTTTAAATACTTCTTTCATCATTAAATTTAATCTCCTTTGTGGATCAACTCTTGGTTTATATTGTTCATCTAGTATAATTCTGTGCATACAAATCGAAGGACTGATTCCCTTAATATCAGCTAACGTCCAACCAAAAGCTTTCTTATATCTTTTTAATGTATTTAAAAGTCTTTGCTCTTGCAAATCATTTAATTCTGAAGATATAATAACAGATAGTGTAGATGAGTCTCCTAAAAACACATACTTCAAGTGGTTAGGCAATATTTTCAACTCAAGTTAATGTGGTTTTATAATTGACGGAACTAGATTCTTATCAGCATTTTCTGTAATATTCAACATCTCAAATCTTCCCTGAACAGAATTTTATTCTTCATTTTCTATTTCGTCCAAAATAACTTCATCACTATCTTCAAATTGTTCTTTCTCTTCAAAATGTTCTTTAAAATGCTCATTCAATAGATGTTCACTAATTTCCACTAAAATTGATAAATATTATTAATATTCTATAATATATTATTTATTATTTTTGTGGGAATTCTATCAAATAAATAAAAAAGAATATGAAAAGTAAGTATTTACGATAAATCTTATGGGAAGAAACAATATATGGAGATATTATTATGTGTGTGATCTAATCAAAAATATTATGTGCATATTTGAGAAAGGCACAAACGTACAATCCCACTTCACAAACCTAACTGTCAGATTAATTTGACATGCTCACTTGCAAAACTTATTTCTATTAATCTAGAAGATCAAATCAGCAAATCTATTTTTAAATCAACTTAGCACATTAGTTCAACGGGTAAGTCTGACAAGTCAACAGGTCTACAATATCACTCTGTAGTAGTTGATAGGCTACACAGATAGCTACATGATCATTTTCTAGAATACTTTTTAGTATGATCGTTTATGTAACCGTCTCAAGTACATATATTACTTGCCCTCCAACCAGATTGTATGAAATTGCAATCTCTCATTAACAATATCAATAAGTCTTGATCTTAAACATTTATTACAATGATATGTAAACCAATGTTTTTTTGTTATAATAAAAACATGTTATTGTGCATGAAAATCAATTATTTCATCACATATGCAAGGCTTTAATTATATGGACAATATATACTGAAGTGCTTGATTAATTTTTCTGTTATAAGATGGATGCTTGATGTGTTAAGCATTTTTTATATGCATGTTATATTTTCTTCATGTATTTGGGATTTTTAAGCCCTCAAATTCAATCTTATTAATGTGGAATATGAGGTGTAGTGGAAATGTGATTGCATATGTTTCATTTTAATCTATTTTAGGGCAACTTTACACTTTTAGAATGTGTTCATGATGTTTTTACTTGATACCTGACGTGACAAAAAGAAAACACACAAGAAAATGATTGTTCTATAAGGATTGTTTTAGTTGATTACTCTCTTTGAACTCTCACTTGCTGATAAATTTCTTGTGGATTTGTCTTCACTATAATTACAAGAGATTGTTTCAAAGGTCAACCCTCTTAGAGGCTAATTTCTTTTCATTGCCGTTTAATATTGATAGCATATGGCAACAACTAAAAAAAACCAAAGAGATAATTCTTGCTTATGCTGCCTACAAGTGGCCGCGAAAACATGCAAGCCACGCAGTTCTGTCTTACTTTTCTCTTACCAATTATTTTCCTTTCAATTACTTCATTTTAAATTTGTTTCAGGACAATAAAAAATTTAAATAAATTTTCTGATTTAATTTAAGTATTTACAAGTAATTTTTTTTAATAAATATATATATTTTTTTTTTCTGAGCAAGATATATATATATATATGTATGTTAGTAGAGATTTATCTATAAAAATTTGGGGCATTTACATGCTCACCATCCTATTTATTTTTCAGAGCAAGATTAAATAAAATATATTTGCATTTTTTACCAAATTTATGTTCAAATGTGGTTGGTGCTAAAAATAAAAGAATACGGATTAAAAAAATGAAATAGGTTCTGTATGCAATTTTATCATTTTAGTGAAACTAAAAGGTATGATAATGAATTGAAATTATAGCTAATGTTCTAGAAAATACGGAAGAAGAGACTCTGCAAGCTCCAAATAGCCCAATGAATTTGCAAGCCATCTTTCGGATAATTTTTATCTTTCTACTAATTTTCTGTGCTGCCAAATGGAATTATTAATTCAATTTCCTTCTTACATTGATAATTCAAAGGAACCAGACTTGATTTCTTTCCTTATAAAAAAAGGTGAACAGAAGCGCTCAAATCAAATCATTGGGAAGCAAAAATAGCAATGGAATTTTCATGCAAGCTCTTCATATTAGTTCTCCTCCTTCCCATAATTGGGAGATGCAGCGCCGATTTCTCCCATCTCGAATGCAACAAAAACTTCACCATTTTCAGCAACAATAACCAGAAACAAAACATCGGGCTAGTGATTTCTGATCTATCAGCGAAGCCAGAGGAAGGCTTCGCTGCCTCATTCCGTACCCTGAATTCGGAAACTATTTATGGCCTCACTCAGTGCCGAGGAGACATCAATCTCGAAACATGTTTGGCATGCATCTTAAAAGCGACACAGACGATACAAACAGCCTGCCCTTATTCAGCCGAAGCCCAAATCTGGCTCGATCAGTGCACCCTACGATATGGTTCGGATAATTTTGTTGGGCAGGCTGACACAAGCTATGCCCGATTTTGGACTTCAATAAAACCTGCAATGAATTCTATAGCATTCGAAAATAGTGTGGATATAGCGTTAGGAGTGGCTAAAGTTTACGCGATGACGACAGGTAGTAAGTTTGGAGCAATGGCAAGTAAAGTAGTAAATAGTGATTTAGTTGTCTACGGAATGGCACAATGCACACGTGATCTCCCAGAATTTGCATGTGGCCAATGCTTAGATTCATTATTGGCTGTTCGATCGACGGGTTGTAAGGGTCGCGTAGGCTGCCGGGTGGTCGGCCGCAGTTGTACGGTGAGAATTGAGAATTTTAATTTTCTCAGCACTATTTTCTAGCGCTTAATTGCAAATTAATATATCAATATTATAGTTTGTTTGTGATTTTTTTTTTATTATGTATGTTGTGTCATTAGACATGGAACACATGTTGACTAATCAATAAGTCATGTGTCGAATATTGTGTGTGGGTTATGCATATTGGCCTGTCACAATTAAATAAAATTGTTATTGTGTATTTGAATTGCAAATGTTGCGTTAAGAGAAGGATGATGAGATGTTATTAATTTACTATGATTTAATTAGTTCATTCAGTGCGGCCTTCTTTGAAGCTAATTACTTGATACCCTAAATATTTCTCCTGGTTTTAGAAGTTCTTGAAATTTAAATAGACAAACTTATTTTCTAATTCAAAAATAAAATGAATATTGCAATTGATAGGTGCTTTAAAATATGTGTTTGCTTCAATATATTTATGCTAGTTGTAATTTTGAGATTTAACTGGGTAAACTAATAGTCTTATTCAAATTTTTTATTAAGAAAAATGAACTAATTATTATTATTTTTAAATAGTTAGTCTAGTTACCAACAAAAAAAATAATAATTACACTTCTGTTGTGAGCACACCAAGCTATCATTGACGAATGCTTGCCCAATATCAAAATTTTCTTCATGTCCATAAAAAAATAGCACATAATAATTTTTTGATGCCATTTTCTTTATTAATTTTCAAAAATATTTTAGGTAAATATATTGAGTTCAAGTTTGATTTAGGTAAATTTAATTAAAAATAAAATTGTTGGATCTGATTTTATGTTTGGTTATTTTAATTTATTTCTTTCAAGTTTAACTCAACCATGGTTCAAGCTGAACATTAAGCTAATTATGCTTACCCTAAACCAAAAGAAGAGGCTAGAAATGGATAAGGTGGGCCCCACAAGGTGTTTTTTTAATTTGACTAGACCATTGAGTGGGTCTAATCTACCCAGTCCATTAGAGAGATCAAGTATTAAGAATTGCACATAGGCTGTGAATTCAATTCTCTAGGCTAAATAAGTTATTTAGAGCCATGTTCAATGTATTATTACCATTCGAACTTTAATTTTAATACTCTAGCCATAGTCAACTTAACACCAAGCCATGGGTTAAGGATCAAGATTACGTATATTTAAAATCAAAGGGAGTGAGTATTTCACTTGAATACTAAATAGGGTCCAAACTATCCACTAGTTTTCTAGAATAACATGTAAGGAAGTCCTAAGGCTATACCCTAGGCTTTAGGGGAGTAGAAAGAGAGAAAGAGTATACCCCACCAAAAGTGAAGTTAACACTTACCTCTTGTTAGAACAAAAAATTGTCAAAGAACAGGTTCATAAAAGCTCACTGTCACCTTCCAAAAGAGCTCTTAGAGGTGATGGGCAGCCCAAAACTTAAATACTGCTTTTCGGACCTACACCTAGCCGATGTGGGACTTTTTGTCCGTGACATTCTCCTCCACCCAATCACGTGACACCTTCGTCACGGTTCGTCTCCACTGAGGGTACCACTAGACCATGGAGAGTCCACACACCTGTCAGACAGTAATCTGCTCTGATACCACTTGTCACCTCCTAAAAGAGCTCTTACCATTTGTCACCTTCCAAAACAGCTATTTAGAGGTGGTGGGCAGCCTAGGACTTAAATACTATTTTTCAACCCTACACCTAGCCGATGTGGGACTTTTGTCCGTGACATCACGCACACTTCATTGGGCAAGGGATGGATCTTCCATTTCAAATACCTTTACAAAGTTCTTAATAGTTGTTCCAGGCCTTCTCTGCCAACACATTCCACATCCTCACCAAGGAACAAACAAGCTTATTGAAGCATACTAAGGTTCACCCAAGGCCTACATCAACACAACTTTTAAATCTGATATTCGATCAAATGAGTTTTATGAGAACCGTACAAACACAAAGGAATCAAACATTGTAAGCTTATCGAACATTAATCTGAGAAGAATGAAACCATAAGATGAGCTTATCTACTCCTCTTGATCCTTTCCAGTGAGGGATTTCACAAATCCTGCACTTGATTCATGGAATCAAGCGCTTTTTGAGTAATGATTATGGTTTAATGTCTAGAGGTTGAAGGCAAAGTCACAATCATCTATTTTATTTCAATAAAATGGATAGCTATGATTTTTTTGCATAGAAAATCTTACTCATTATGTGGACCACAAGTTTTGGTTTACACTAGCAATGTCTTATTGTATGTTGAAGTGCACGCAGAGTCAGCTGATGACTACTTAAGTGGCTAGATGAAATAAGGTAATTAATAAAACTTCAAGGAATTATTAAAATTAAAATAAATTTTAAAAAAAATAATAAGAAAATGCATTAAATTTTGATAAATTTATTTAATTAATTTTGATTAAATAAAATTGAAATTAAGTAATTAGTCAATAAAAAAATAATTATATTTGTTAATTAATTGATATACCCTCTAATTTACTTGAGAACTCTCACCGAGATAAATCATCTGATATTGAGGGTAACATTTTGGCCTTTCTCAGCCTATGCACGAATTAGATAAGATTTTTGCTTCGTTCACTACGGTTCCAGAAATTAACATTTTAGGGAAGTTAGACATGAGCTATGCCCAAGGTTAAGGGTTTCAACGCATGTGGCACAGGATCCTGTTGAATCCGACAAAGTCGCAGTGAGACAAGTGAGAATGATGAAAATGGATGCGGTGATAAGGCACAAAAGGTTTGCAAGGAGGAAGAGTAATCGTTTAAAAGGCAATTTGATTATCTACAGAATGGCAGAATATACATTTGATCTTCAAGAAGCCGAATGCAGAACCTGTTTTAACTCCACCGTCTACACGCACCCATCATCTCACTGTCTTTACAACACCCATGAAGTTTCAAAATTCATACAAGCAAATTATAGGGCCACTTTAGTACTTGAACGTTACCAGACCAGACATCACATTCATTGTTAATTACGTAAGTCAACACATTAACAACTCAACTACACTATACTTTCAAAAATTAAAATGACTTTTCCGGTATCTAAAAGGTACTTCTACTCATGGTATTTCCATCATTTATGGCTCTCTCTCTTTAAGTGCATATGCAGATGCTGATTGAGCAAGTGATAACACTGATCACAAATCTGCAACGAGTTTTTGTATCTATCTCAGCCCTAACCTCATCTTACGTTCAACTAAAAACAACTGACCCTGAGTATCGTGCATCAGCTACTACAACAACAGAATTACTTTGGCTACACACACTTCTTCAAGAACTTCTTACTCAACCACTTCCTTCTACAACACTCTACAACAATAGTACATCCGCTATAGATGTAGCTCACAACCCGATTTTTAACTCTCGTACAAAACACATTGAAGTGGACTAAAGGTTCATTCGAGACCACCTTGAGCTAAAACAGATACACCTTCAACATTTACTAATAGAAGATCAACATGCAGATATTCTTATCAAATCACTATGGATCAAGTGACATCGAACTCTTACAAGCAATCTCACAATCACAAGTCCAGATCATCATCATGAAGGGGGTTAAAAGAAGTTCTACTTCTCATTCTGTACAATTAATTTTCCCGCATCTCTAAGCTTGGCCTTTGGATCTTCTACCCTTCTCTCCAAGTAGTGGCTCAAGTCTCCTCAGCGTCTTTATGGCTCTCAGCTTGAAAAGAGATTTTATGAGTGCTCTTAACTTCTGTAAAGAGACTTTTTTGTCCTCATTCTTTCTTTCGTTTTTGCCCTAGCAAAAACTTTATAAATAAGCTTTGTAATATCGTAAATAATATGATTGGGAAAATAAAGTAAAGTTACTTTTCTTTCATCTAGCTTTTTCCTCTTCATTTTTCTCCTCATTCTCCTATTCAATTATCCTTTTGCATTTACATACCACATAACTCTTATGTATTCACATATCTAACTCCCAAATGCTAATATTTACATGTAATGTCACTCGAATATTTAATATCACATCAAAAATATCAAAAATATTGCAACACTATTTTTTTAACACACCTTTCATTCATATTTTATGACACCAATGTGTTATATATAATTTACAAATGTAAATATCGAACTTTGGGTGTTAGGTATGTAAGTACATATAAATGGTGTGGTAGTTATAAATGCAAATTTTACTGACTAAATATGACATCTATAGATAAAAATTTACAAAAGTAGCATCCGAGATATCATTTGGCTGAATTATTTACAAAAAACAATTCCCGACTATTGTATTGACAATTTAAGAAATTTCAATTAAATCAATTTGAGTCATCACTTTTGTATTTTATTCTAATCATACTTTATTTTGAAAATGAAGATATACTCAACCATTTTTGTTTATCAACTTCTTCTCACCTTATCAATCCATAGAATACATTTTGAAGCAAAGATCAAAAGATTCTAAGTTCACTTGCAAACGAGAAGGCCCGTTGATGCGTGCTAGATTATTCACAGTGACAGAGTAATAGATTATTTTCTTAATGTTGGATGGGAATTCAGCACACACACAGATAAAAAAAAATAACCAGTAAAAACATCATAAGTTTTTTATGTGGAAAAAATGTAAGAAAAAAAATCACAAGGTCTGACTCAGTTGAAGAGATTCATTATGTACTGGAGATTACAAGTATAACCTCTTAATATCTTATCCCATAGGCGGGAAATTGCTACAAAGTATCCTGATTTATAAAGTTGATGTATGAAGGAACTTGTCACAAGAAATAGGCGGTGATCAATGGTGATCAGTTGCGGCCGACAAATGGTAATTGACAATGATCTACGGTGGTCGATTATAACATGAGTGTGAACTTCAGCATCTTCTTAAAGCTTCAAGCTCCTCTTCAAACTTGAAGCTTTCTCCTCCTCTTCTCATCAGAGGGTTGAGGCTTTACTTATGAAGCTCTGAGTGTAATTAATGCAGGAATATGAACTACTTTGATCTGACGTTCCAGAGAATATTCTTTGATCAGATGACATTTGATGCACATTTGAGTATCTTAATGATGTCGGAATTGAGCCATCTTAGGCTCGTTGGATTCATCTTATTGAGACGCTCGATTTAACTATAAGTTCGTCAGATTTTACATTCATTTGACGACCCAAATATGCTCATAAACCTTTTAAATTTGGTTTAACGGTTTGATCTGAGCTTGATTTGACTTGAATTAGATCAATTTTTATATCATCGGGTCTCTCTCATCGAGTCGGTCAGTTTGACTATAAGTTTGCTGAAATCTGAGCTTCAGATGATTTTTTATCAAAGTTCAAATATTTTTTATTTAAAAGATTGCATTTAGCTCTATGTCATACTTCAAGATTTTTGCCGGATGAAAGAATTTATTGATGGTGTATGACTCAAATACCTTAATTGGGGTCGAGAGGTCTATCTAGATCGTGCTTGTCTGCCTTTTATAACATTTTTTTAAGAGACTAGCTTTCTAGGATACTCCAATGAGGGTAACATTTTCTCATTTTGTAAGCCACTCATTTTATTTTCTCCATACCCATTTTTTTCTTGTAAAAAATAATTGTTTTGTACATTTTTTCTTGTTGTCAAATAAATATTAAGAAAATCTAACAGTTAACTAAAAACTATCTTGTAGATTCGTTATTGTTGTTTTTCTTATTTTTGGCTCATGATTTTTTTTTTTTTTTGCAATTTTCCTTTTTTTATTAAAACAATACGCTATACTCAAAAGTGATGTTTTGAAAGATAGCATATCATTACCAGTTGTTGATGATAGCTTATGGTAAGAACAAAAAGATAAAAGGGAGAATATATGCTTGCGCTGGCTCCAATTGGCCGCAAGCCCATGCAAGCCATGCATTTCGTTGACCATTTTTCATCTCCAATTTTTTCCTTATTTCTATCCATAAATGGAAGGTACGGTATTTTCAATTACTCAGCAGTAATACTTATTAGTTATTACCAGAAAATAAAAAAATATAAAAATAAAATTTCTTTTTATATTAAATAATTTTAGTACAATAATTTCTTAAGAAAAAAAAAATAATTTTGACAACAATTTTTAGTTGCAGCAGAGATTTATCCATATAAAATTTAAAGTAATTAAATGCACAATATTTCCGGCGGGGGGGCGCCGGCCCTCGATGCTTCTTTGAACATTCCAAATACAGAATCTTTTCATCTTAATCAGAAAAAAAAAACTCACTCTCACAAGCATTTTAATTTGGCCGGCCAAGCCATGTCGACTGCATTCCCTTCATTATAAAAGGTGGATAAGAGCACCCAAATGAATTCATTGGAAGGCCAATTCCATAATGGAGTTCTCATGCAAACTCTTCCTTTCACTTCTCCTCCTCCCAATGATTGCAAGATGCAGCGCCAACTTCATCAGCCAGGAATGTGGCAAAAATTTCAGCATTAGCACCTACAGCACGCTGCCAGACAGCATCAATCGCGCCTTCTTCGGCCTCATAGCGAAGACTTCACTCTACGGCTTCGCCACTGCTTCCTATGCTTCCGGCACGGACGCCATCTACGGCGTCACTCGATGTCGTGGGGACATCACCCTCGAGGCTTGCTCGGCCTGCATCTTAGAAGCAGCGGATAATATACGAACAAGCTGCCCTGTTTCCGCCGAAGCACGGATTTGGTACGAACAGTGCTTCATTCATTACGACTCCAACAATAATTTCCTCGGACAGCCAGACACGAGCCAAGTTAAATATTATCATACAACAAAGGAATCAACAGATCCAACAGACTTCAATCAAACTCTGTGGAATGTATTGGGTGGAGTCAAATCCGCTGCCGCAACCGCGGATAACAGATTTGGACGCGGTGAGAGTAAACTTTCAAACAGTAATATGACTATCTATGGAATGGCGCAATGCACTCGTGATCTTCAAGAATCAGCTTGCTACACATGCTTGAATGTATTATTCGAGTTTATGACATCTGGAAAATGCAAAGGCGTTATAGGTTGCTATGCGATGAGTATTAGTTGTGTGTTAAGGTATGAGGATAATCCTTTTCTTGAAGACGCTTCACCTCCAAGTTCTAATGCATATGCGCCTGCTTCGCCTTAAATCATCCAACATTAGATCAATATTAGAAGCGATTTATGTGGCTTCTTAAACTCATGTAACAATTGCCTTTCTACTGAAATTGTTTTCAGTAGATGTGGCTTTATCGGCCGACTTGCCAGGCCAATCTTTTGATTCTAAGTAATATGTGTTTGTTATGCATTTTGTTATGTTTATTAATAAATTATGTTTTTCTTGTTGCGCTTAATTGCAAATATTGCATTCAAGAAGGATCCAGATGTGTTACTTGTTGATGTTTAAGAAAGAGAATCCTGAGGAATGCTTATCAATTAGATTAAAAGCTCAAGAAGTTTTGAAATTATAACTCCAAGGAGTGGATGCATGTTCTCTTGGAAGTTTTAGTAGTTTTGTCCTCCTTTGTAGTTTTGGAATGACTAGTTCACTTTCAAATAGAGCTTTTTTTTAATGGCAAATTACATGTATTGATTAGAATCTTACATCTTTTTTTATGAAAATCTTTCTTCTAATGGCCTTTAAAAAACTTTGTGGGACTATAGAAATGCCTCTTAAAACAGAAATTTTTTTTGAGATTTTGAGTTGTAAAATACAATTTCAAACATCACTTAATAAGTTTCATTGCACATTTTATATTCATCCATTATTAATAATGATTTATGAAAAAAAAATTAAAAAAAAATGATTTTCCTAAAAATCAAGTGTGCAAAATATTAACGAGTAGCAAAATAGCATTTGAAATATCACTTGATAAGTTTCATCACACGTTTTGTAGTCAATCATTATTAATAATGATGTATGGCAAAAATTTAAGAAAAAAATTATATTCCTATTATTCAAGTGTGCCTAGTAGTGAATTTCAAGTTGCCTTTTTGTTTATTTTATTTTATTTTTGCTTAATTGTGACTAAAAGAAGATTAGTGTGTCACTTTTGCCATTAAGCTCAAATGGATGTCATACCTAAAGCAGATTTTCCATCGATACTATTTTGCTCCAACATTTTATTTTCTAAAAATGCATGTTTTAGGACACTGCTAATACATTCGTCCTTAATTCTCTAGAACTAGATTTTGACCGGTTGGTAGAGCAACCACAAATTTCTTGCTTTTCAATTAATTCTAAAATTTCATACAGATGAACAAACCATTCTTGAGTCCAATTAACAAAGGCTCTACTTGCTATAAGTTCATCTCAAACTTAAGAAAACATGTACATGCATGGTTGCGAAAAACTTACTTAAAAGTTACTATGGTCATGAATTTCATAATTATGTAATGACTCTCTAGAGCTCCCATGACACTTGGATAGTGGCTTTCTAAATGAAAATTAAGATTTTGAGTGTGTCCCTAAAAATATTGATCAGATATATTTTCAATGATTGTTTTTTGTGTTGAACAATTAAAACTGGTCAAGTCATTAACTGGCAATTTATTTAAAAAAAAAAACTTATTTTAAAATTGAATGGATAAGCATAGCTACTACCCATACAAATAGTGTTCTTAGAGAAATTGCTAAGCTTCAACTTTTCAACCTTTCAATTGCTTTAACACCAAGATATATTTCAATAAATTATAAATGAGTTAAAAAATAAATTCTAAAAATCTCATAAAAGTTTTATTTATTTTCTTAAACCAAAAACCATAGGTTATATTTAATTACTTCACAGTTTCAAGTTAACGCACAACCTCTTCTTGTATAGATAATAATTTCACACATAAAATATCTAAAAATTAAATAGCTGCACTATTTCAATCTATCTTAATATGCTTCCTATTAATCTTTTAGATTAATTACGTAGGCCATTTACATACCAACCACATAAGTTTTATGTATTTAGATATCTAAAACCTAAATATTCATATTTACATGCAGGTCACTCAAATCTGTAATAATAAAACATCATAAATATCACAATCACTCTCTTTTTAAAAAGTAAAATGCACATTTTCATACAAATCATTTCTCATCGGTCCATAGAGCACATTATGAAGCAAAGATCAAAAGTTTCCAAGTCCACTTGGAAAAGAGAAGGCTCATAATACATATGAATATATACTTGACTTTGCTTGATGAGATTCTCCCTCACATCCACTCTTTCTTCTCATTTCAATCAACAAAAGTCATAAAGCAACTACTCATGAAGGTATACCTCCAAGAAAACTAGTTATGTAGAAGCATTGGGCCTCATTCTCATCCCTACCATTGCAAGCAGCTACATTCTCACCTCAGGAGTTTAGATTACTTCGCAAACCTCTTTATGTGGACTTAAGTGTGAGTGTTGGGAGATTGTCATAAGCAAATATTTGATCGAAAGTGCAGAGGCAGGTTGTCCGATGAGATCTAACTCTCTTTAACAGTGTGCAAGATGACATAAATATCGAAGTTTAGATGCGAGACATGTAATACTAATAGTATTTAATGATTAAAATATGACCTTCAAGAAATTACATGTGCAATGGCAAAATATAACTCCTTAAGGTATTTATTTTGCAAGACTAGGAAATGTAATCAAACAAATGTTTTTTGTTTTATTATTTGAGAATCTTTTCATAGGGTCATTTTGTTAATTAAAATAGTATGATAATGCACTTCAATTGTTCAAGGTAGGTTCGAGGTTCGTGCTTCATCACTATTTAATATATCTTTTCAGTTTGATGTCCCTACTATAACTCTCACTTGGCATTTCACTGCAAAGGTATTGGCGGGGTTAGATGTGACTTTTCCTTACTCTATATGAATTGGATCAAAAGAATGGTTATCATAAAAAAATTGTGATTTAGAACACTCAAACTTTTGTGAGTTGTCATTTCGTTATGCAAGAAGATTAACTTTATAAACATGTTAAAAACAACATAAATGACAATATGCTTGATTCAATAAATAATTTAATTGAGTGATCTAAGCTTCTTCCTCAAGTGATTACTATTAATATGACAACTTTAAGCACTCTGCTTATGTGCCTATTAACCAAAATTTTCATCTATGTTCTATAATATCGAAGCAACACAATGGGGGTAAATAATGAGCTATTTAATGTTCCAAATCATAAAGTTCTAAATAACATGAGAGAAAATATTTTTAGAGGTTGTTCATTCTCCTCTTGTTTTGTTAAGACGATGGTTCACATTGTTAATTCTACTATGCTTGCATAAGAAATTTCTTATACACAATTCAGTCCTCCTTATATTTATCATAACATAAGATTCAAAGACTGGTCCTGCTACAGATGTCTTTAAGTATTTCAAGGAACCCATTTCAAATCAGAAAGGGAAAGAAGAAGAAGCATTGTTAAAAATCATCCTCACTTCACCATGTACTCTCTGCAATTCATATAGAAAAATTCACCTTAAATAAGAAGCTAACAATTGGTATCTTTCCATTTTGGTTCATGCTAGCATATTCACTGAACTTGTGAATTTTTGTTTATCTTCCCATTATTTTATTTATTTTTTATTTAGGATTAAATGGATTTTTTTGTTGATTTGTGCTCTAGTTGAATGTTTGGGTATTTAGTTGGTTTCTCACTTTCTTTGAAATATGCCTCATTTGATTTGAAGAGTTCATATTATTCATTCATAATAAATATTTTTTTATTAATGAAAATTACTATTTTTCTTAAAAAAAAAACACCCTCCCACACCCCAGTTAAACAAAATAAAATGATAATAATCATTATTATAATAATAAAATTATGTTAAAATATCATTACAAAAGGCAATTATTGAAGAATTTGTTCTTGATCAAGCACCAATGACTGATTTAAACATATTCAATGCTTCTTAAAATTTTTGACATGTAGTATATATTACATTCATTCAGATTAGTGAAAGCGGGCTTAGATGATTTGGTCATATTAAAAAACAACCATATATTGACCCGATCATGAGATAAGACATTTTTGCTTTGACTAATGTTAAAAAAAAAAATAAAGGTAGACTTAATGAGATTTGGTCATATTCTATGGAAAGTGATCATAATTTTATTAGAATAAAGTGCAAGTAGGCCGCCCTCCTTTGTGAGATAAAAAAATTATTATTGTAATAAAAAATAGTACTTTTGTAATATTTTTAATGTTCCCATATAAAATATATAAGAAAATCTAACAATTTAATAAAAAAATATCATTAGCTTGAGGACCAAGATGATTAAGTTGTATAAATTCAAAATTTTAAAACCTTAATCCAAATTGAAGTTCTGTTTTATAAATTATCTATTCTAATGAAAAAACCTTTAGAAGATATTAAAAAGTTACTTCCTTAAATTTAAATAGCAGTATAACTAAGAAGCTTTCAAATGTGGGACTAAATTTTATTCTAAAAATTACAAAATGTGTGTAAGCTTCTGCTGGACTACTCTCCCCACCTCTAAATTTTAAGGCCTATTTTCATTCAAACCACCCAATGCCTATTTATTTACATATCAAACACCTAAAGTCTTATCTTTTCATCTATACCAACTAAATTATTCATATTACATAAAAAATACCATAATTTCAACTTCTATAAGAGAAATACACATGTTCATACATAAATAAATAAGGCGGTATGTTATGTAAAATTGAAGATTAGGTATTAGATATGTAAAAAGATAGGAAATGAACGGTATGAACGTAAATCTTCCAAAAGTTAAAAATTGCTTCATTTTATTGTCATTTCTTTATTGTTTTATTAAAAACAACAATAGTTTGCATAATCCATATATATATAACTTTTTATATATTTATTTATTTGTATTATAATTTTTTTTTTGTGATATTTAAGCGAGGCAAAATAAAATTATAGTTATTCTGAAAGTATAGATTTATTTAATAACTTTTTGGCAGATATTTATCTATTTATTTTTAAATAAATTATTTTTTCATAGTGTTAACTTCAAATAAACTTTATAATTTTAATAATCTTTTGTGTATATATATAATTGCATTTTTTTTATTTTTAAATAATAGCTATATATCAATTTCATTATCATTTAATAATGATCACATTAGATAAAAATAAAAAACAAAAATAAAAATAAAAAACCAATGA